ATCCCTTATCCGGGATGAGGAAACCAGCACCAAGGCGGACACAGAACTTACTCAAGGTCTCCAGGATCAGCTATCACGGATCTGAGTACACATCATCTCTCTGTGTGATTTCGTGCCCTGCCCTGCTTGTTTCTATTTTTACGGGACAGATACGCGGCTGCCCATCTCTCCGCAGTCCTAAAACATGAGTCACGGGAACATAGTTTCCCCCACTTTACAAGGGTAGAAACTGAGTTTGGAAAAGTCATCGACATTTTCCTCAGCCTCGAAGACAAGCAGGAGTCAAAGAGCATGGCGTCAAACCACAGTACAACCAGCCGTCAGAGTGGCCCATCCTGCCTCAACATTCATGTGACCTCCAGCACACTGTCCTTCCTTCCTTCCTTCCTTCCTTCCTTCCTTCCTTCCTTTCTCTCTCCCTCCCTCCCTCCCTCCCTCCTCCTCCTCCTTTCTTTCTTTTCTTTTTTTTGGGGTTGGGGGGACATTTCGAGATAGGGCTTCTTTGTGTTGTTTTGGTACCTCTCCCGGGTCTTGCTCTGTAGACAAGGCTGGCCTCGAACTCACAGAGATCCGAGATCCACTTGGCTCTGCCTCCTGGCGTGCTGGGATTAAAGGCATGTGCCACTACCACCCGGCTTATTTGTTTGCTGATTCATTCATTTATAAACTAATTAATAAATGTATTTACTAATTTATTTATCATTCTAAAGGGAGAGAGTCCACAATGGCAGAGGCAGTATGGCAACAGGCTGGGATGGTGACAGGAGGCAGGGACAGGAAACATAGAGTTCACATCTTGAAGGTTTGTGTGTTTGATTTGGTTTGGTTTGTTTAAGAAAGGGTCTCACAATGTAGCTCTGGCCGGACTGGAACTTTCTTAGATCAGGATGGCCTTGAACTCACAGAGATCTCTTGCTTCTACCACTCAATTGCTGGTTTCCCCCACCCCTCCCCCTTTTTCTTTGGAGTATGTATGTGTGTGCCTGTGTGAGCAAGTGTGTGAAAATGTGTGTTTTCGAATATGTGGAAGGCAGAGACGCTCCGGGTATCTTCCTCAATCATGTCTCCATCTTGTTTTTTGAGGCAGGATCTCTCACTCGATCTGAACTCATCTCTTCAGCTGGCCAGTCGGCCCCTCGGATCCTCCTGCCTCTGCCTCCTGGGGGTTACAGTTGCAGGTGGAACCGCTGCACCCAGTTTTGTTTGATTTGGTTTGGTTTTTCGACACAGGGTTTCTCTGTGTAGTCCCTGCTGTCCTGAAACTCGTTTTATAGACCAGGCTGTCCTCAAATTCAGAGATTGGCCTGCCTTTGCCTCCCCAGTGCTGGGATTAAAGGCGTGCACCACCACTGCTGGGTTGTTTTTGTTTTGTTTTATTGTTTTTTAATGTGGGTTTCAGGGGATATAACCCAGGTCCACATTATTATGTGGCAAGTACTTTATAGACAGAGCCATATCATTCCCCTGAGTCAAGGTGTCAGTCACCATACCAACACTCCATTAAAGAGGACCCAGGCTTACACTCCTTCCAGAACAGCCCTGACCCTGCACCAGCTGGGCCTTCTGGCCTGGCACTCCCAGCCCTGCCCATCAGGACCAGCCCAGGACCTTTGCACTTGGAAGAAACAGAGCCCTGGTTTCCATGTGCCTCTGGGATTGTTTATTTGAATCTTCTAGCACCCCAGGGTTTGGGTTCTTAGGGAAGAGGATGAAGTCTGAGTGTTTGTAATTTGATAGGTAGGGGCCCCCCCAGAAAAAAAATACCTTAAGCCCAACTCAATGACGCTTGCCCCTTTATTTTGTTACTTAGTGTGTTATTCAGTGTTATCTGTTGTTTTGTTATTCAGTGTGTATATGTGTGTGTGCAGGTGTGCGCGTGCGCAACACGTGCAAGCATATGGAGATCAGAGAATGACCTAGGAAAACGGGCTTTCCCCAGCTTTGGAGTAACAGGGCCCAAACTCAAGTTGTCAAGCTTGGCAACGAGGACGGACCTTTATCCTCTGGACCATCTGCCTCCCCCAAGCTTTTCATCTAGCTGGACGGGTCTCAGGTTCCCAGCTAATTGCGCAGCCCCTGGGGCCCTCACAGCACAACAGCATCCTCAGTCCAAGAGCCCGGGGAAGGGCAGCTTTGGGAAACAAGAAAAAGTGTCAAGTCATTTACCTCTGTGAGGACCCAGCCCTGTTCTAGGTGGCAGGAGTGCCATATAATAAAACAGGCAAAACTGCTGGTCAGTCTTGGAACATTCTCAATGTCCCGGTGGTGGCAACCGAGCGGAGCAGAGACAAAGAACCAGAAATCAATGAGAAGTCAAGCGTGGCTTCTCTCACACAAAATCTCACCACTCATGCAGGGGAGGCAAAACCATCGGGAGTTTAAGGCCACCCTAGGCTACATAGTGCAGTCCTGGGGCGGGGGCGGGGGGAGGCAGAGAAAAAAAAGGGGGAAGGAGGAAGGGAAGGCGGGGGGGGGGGGGGAGAAGGAGGAGGAAGAGAGGAAGAAAAGAAAGAAGGAGTACACTTCGGATGACGTCAAATAGGAAAGGGGCCTGGGCATTGTGGGTAAGAAGCGGGGATGGGTTCTGTTGCTACCATTTGTTTTTTGTTTGGGGGCAGGGTCCCAAGCCACCCACACTGAACTCCAGTTCACTAAGTAGCTGGGGAGGAGGATCTTGAACTTCTGATGTACGTTAGGGTGGTAATTGTCAACCTACCATCTCGCAGGGTTTATTCAGTGCCCAGGACAGACCACGGATTTCTAGCATGCTGGTTAAGCCCTCTACCCAGTGAGTTACATCCCCTGCTCCTAAAATTACAAAAGACTTGGGCGGGGTGGGGGGCAGGGGTGGGGGGGTGTCAGTAAGCCTCGTGGGCAGCTGTCAGAGTGCCCCGGAAGAAAGGACCCCAAGCGCAGGTCCTTGGAGTGTCTAGGAACAAAACCGGAAGAGCCAGACCCTAGCTGTGGTGAGGGGAAGGGAGGAATCGGAGCATGGGCCACCCCAAGGCCAATTCTTAAGAGCCGTGAGTCAGGGGAGACAGTGCTCAGAGGCAATAGGGATTGGTGTTCCAGCTTTTGTTTTGATGTTTGTTTGTCTCCTGTGGTCTATTTGACCTTGAATTCTTTCCCTAGCCAGGAGGATCTCGAACTCCTGCCTCCCTCCTCGTTCCCAAGTGCTGAGATAACAGGCGTGATACACTGTACAGGGCTTTTCCTATGTGTGCTGTGTTTTATTCTGAGACACACTCTGGAGTCCACCCTGGCTTTGAACTCAAAGCCATCTTCTTACCCCAGCCTCGGCCATGAGCCAACACACCTGGCTTGACTTTTTCCTTTCTGTTCTCGCCCTGTATCCAATCTCTTTCCCACCTCACCCTGGCACTCACTCTGCCCCCTGAGGAGAGAAAACAAGACACACACACACACACACACACACACACACACACACACACACACACACACACACCCACCCATGAAGAGAACCTCAGTGAGGATAAGCAGCTCGGTGGGACAGTAATCCAGCTAAGGCTGCCACCGTCCCATGAGAAGGAGCTGGACAAGAATTTGAACTCAACACCTGGGTGGGTGGGGGGAGCTCTTCAGGTGGGCGGCCCTGACTTCAGAGTCCAGTGTATTCAAATATAGACCTTACTACCTGCCTGCATCAAGCTGGAGGGACCCAGAGCAGGTACTGCAATTCCGTTCACTGACAACGACAAACAGCCGCAGCCACGCCCCCACTGGGTCCTCCCAGTCCCGGCTGTCCAAAGGAGTTGGCCTCGCCCCCATCCTACGCCTACCGCGCTGGAAAGGTTGGAGGTGGGGGCAAGAGAGCCAAGCAGTTTACTATTGGTGATTTGCGCTTCAAAAAAAAAAATCACCGAAGAGCCCCTCCCCCCTCTGTATGTCTCAAGAAAATTTGTTGAGGATGAGGAGCTAGGAGAGGTTTGGAAGGAGGGAGCACAGAGGGCCCGGCCCTCCCTCGACATCACCCCCGACCCTAGAGCATTCAGTTTCTGGCTAAGTCCTTCCCCCCTTGGTGAAGGGGAGGGGGAGGACGGACGGGACTGGACGGGGACGGGACACACGTCACTGTCCCCAGGAGAGCGAGCTCCACCTTCCTCCTCTGGGCACCAGCTAAGTCCAACCCACCCCACCCCAGAGCCAACCCAGTCTCAGGAGCCAGCCTCCAAAGCCACAGGCAGGTGCAGAGGCAGCCTCTGTGAGAGCCCCGGGAGAGGAGCCGTTAGCGCGTCCTTTGCCATCCACCCGTCGGTCCCCGGCGACAGTCGTCCGTCAGTCTTCGCACGGCAGTTGGTTCTGAAGTCCAGGGGTCGCGATCCCTCGTCTCCCAGCCCCCGGAGCTGCCCGGCAGAGCCGGTTCAAGTCCAGCAGCCATGTCCATGGGCCTGGAGATCACCGGCACGTTGCTGGCCGTACTGGGCTGGCTGTGCACCATCGTGTGCTGCGCTCTTCCCACGTGGCGCGTTTCGGCATTCATCGGTAACACCATCGTCACGGCGCAGATCACCTGGGAGGGCCTGTGGATGGACTGCGTGGTGCAGAGCACCGGGCAGATGCAGTGCAAGATGTACGATTCGCTGCTGGCCCTGCCGCAGGACCTGCAGGCCGCCCGAGCCCTCCTCGTGGTGTCCATCCTGCTGGCCGCCTTGGGGCTCCTGGTGTCGCTCGTGGGCGCCCAGTGCACCAACTGCGTCCAAGACGAGACGGCCAAGGCCAAGATCACTATCGGGGCGGGAGTGGTTTTCCTGTTGTGCGCTCTGCTCACCTTAATACCCGTGTCCTGGTCGGCCAACGCCATCATCAGGGATTTCTATAACCCACTGGTGCCCGAGCCTCAGAAGCGGGAGATGGGATCCGGGTTGTACGTGGGCTGGGCTGCCGCCGCAATGCAGCTGCTAGGGGGCGCCTTGCTCTGCTGCTCCTGCCCACCGCGCGAGAAGTACGCGCCCGCCAAGATCCTCTATTCTGCGCCGCGATCCACCGGGCCTGGCACCGCGACCGGCACCGCCTATGACCGCAAGGACTATGTCTGAGGGGCCGGGTGCGCGCAGTCCGCACCATCACCACTATCAGCAGCCGAAGTACCCCACCAGTCCAGCGTGCAGCCTTGCTTCGGAAACCACCCCACTTTCCAGATGGTTACAGATGCCACGCCTTCTGCTTGCTAGACTGGAAGAGGACAGACAGCCTGGCGACCCCCTCTTCCCCGGCTGCCACCTGACTGCCGGGCCTAGGAACCGTCCAACCGGTCTGGACAAAGAAACCTCACCTTTCCGAGTACAGGACTGGGGTGGCCACCGCAGCTACTTGCCAGCCCCGTCCAGCCCCGTCCTTCCGCAGCCGGAAGGCTCACAGTGGGCAGAGACAGGCAACCGTAAAACGGGCCGTTTCGTATTTTTCAATAAAAACCTTTCGTTTTTGCAGTCGCTGGAGCCTCCTTATCCTGAACGTCCCCACAGGCCACCGCCTCCTCTACCGGGCACCTGCTGGGGAGTGTCCCTGGGATAGCCCTCAGCATGGGCAGCGAGCTTAAAACAGCATATAGATCTAGTAAGGAGAAAGTGGGGTTATACGGTGAGCTCGGTGCTCACATGTGGGTCACTTGGGAGGTATTCCGGGACTGAACTCAACAGAGTCTATAGCAAGCCTTATCTAGCGATCCAGCTAGGGGGATTCTGAGGAACCTGGCTGGAGGAGGCAAGGGGCTCTTCTCCCGGATGTCCCAGTTGATTTGAGTTTGGAGCTTGGATCCACAGTCCTGCTCTGGGCGTTTGAGGTGGCTCACGTGCGGGTTAAAGAAGTACATTCTATACCGTGATTTCATATTTGGAGACGTCAAACAAAAAGACCTATTGTTTGGCTCAAATGCCCCATCAGAAGGACATCTAAGTGATGGGGGTGTGGCTCAGTGGTAGAGTACTTGTGTAGCACACACTGGGCTTGGGTTCTGTTCCCAGCAATAGGGGAAAAAAAACTGAAAGGAACATTTGACGAACTCTTCTGACCTGGAGGTGGAGAGATGAGGAAAAAGGCCACCTCACCTTCTTTCCAGTGCCTTCAAGGGAGGGGGGACCTGGCTTTAAAGAATATTGAGAAGTAAGGCACTTGCTCTTGGAACAAGGTAAGGGAACTGTGGCAGGGCTCTTGAAGGGAAAACAGGTTCCTCGGTTCCTATGCTTTAAAAAGGTGAGACTCTTTGGAAGGTGCAGGCAGAAACATCAGGAGTTCAAGGTTATATTCTCCACCACATATCAATTTCTTTTCCTTTCTCTCTTCTTCCTTCCTTTCATTCATTCGCTTGTTCGTTCATTTTTTTATTTTTATTTATTTATTTATTTATTTATTTTTGAGGTAGAATTTCTTTACATAGCCCCGGTTGTCCCGGAACTCATTATGTAGACCACGCTGACCACCACACCTGGTTCACATATCAATTTCGAAGCCAGCCTGGGCTACATGAGTTGTCTCAAAAAAAACACACAAACGGGCGTGTTGGAGCATGTCTTTAATCTCAGCCCTCTGGAGGCAGGAGGATCTCTATGAGTTCTAGACCAGCCTGGGCTTCATAAGGAGACTTTGTCTCAAACAAACCAACAAAAAAACAGCAACAAAAGGAGAGAAAAATTGAGGAAGACACTCAAAGATGATAGATGGACCCCATCCAGGGTGAGGTGGTGGTATCCAGGGGCAGAACTCAGAGGGTTTAAGGAAGTGAGATTCTCAGGACTCCAAAACCATTAGGTGTCAGAGGGAGGGAGGAAGGAGACTCTAAAATAGCCTCAATTTGAGCCAGGCAGTGGTAGCGTACACCTTTAACCCCAGGACTCGGTAGGCAGAGGCAGGCTGATCTCTGAGTTCGAGGCCAACCTGGTCTACAGAGTGAGTTCCAGGGCTACACAGAGAAACCGTGTGTTGAAAAACCAAACTAGGCTGGGCGGTGGTGGCGCATGCCTTTAATCCCAGCACTTGGGAGGCAGAGCCAGGCGGATCTCTGTGAGTTCGAGGCCAGCCTGGTCTCCAAAGCGAGTTCCAGGAAAGGCGCAAAGCTACACAGAGAAACCCTGTCTCGAAAAACAAAACAAAACAAAAAAAAAAAAAGAAAAACCAAACTAAGATAAAATAATATAGCCTCGGCTTTCAGCCTTAGGTCACGGATGATGGAACAACTCCCAGAACAGCAGCTCAGGTCCCTGGGGGGAAGCCGAGAAGGTCCGCTTTGAGTGTAAGAGTTGGTCAGACAAGGAACGGCCAGGTAAGACGGTCCAGGAAACAGGAAGGGGAATGAATGCCCAGAGACCTTGTAAACCCAGGAGTCATTAACATACAGCAGAAACCAGAGGAACAGTGAGCTCGTTCTAGAAACCGAAAGAAGAAAAGAGGTTCATGGAAGTGGGGATGGACAACAGTGTTTGAACATGCAAAGGACCGGGGAGATGAGAGCTGGGGAAGAGATTTGGTTCCAAACACCAAGGTGGCAGCTCTGAGTGGCGCTGGGGATAAGAGTGGAGGGAAAAGGGAGTGGGAGGCAAGAAGTCGGATCTGGGCACCGAGCGCAAGTGGCGTGCCTGAAAGAGGACTCATCAGGGAGACAGGAGCTGGAGGACATTGAGCTATGCTGCCCATCCTGGCGGTTTAGGAGGGAAAGAGGCTCCCCCGCATATGTGATCACATACACTTGATACTGGGTTTGGGTTTGAGACTAGGTCTCAATCTGTAGCCCGGGGCTAGCCTCACATTCATGTTCATCTTACCTAAGCATCCTAAGGAGCTGGTATTAGAGGCAGGTTCCGATGTGCCCAGTGCCAAAAGATTGCTTAGGAGAGCCTCTCCAGAAAGTCCCTCCTCTTTCCTAAGGAATGCCAGTGTGCTGGCATCGGGATGACCTAAGGAAGAGGAAATGTGTTGCTATTAATAATAATTAGTGCATTCCTGATAAGGTCCTAGGAGAGCAGTGAGTATGTAGACGACTATCCCCAGCAGCTTCCCCTAGGAAACTACTCTTCTATCCAGGAGAGGAGAGACACCAGGAAAGAGCAAGTGACTGGTGAGAAGAGGTTTGGGGCCAAGTGTGCACCGCGACTGTAATCTCAGCTCATGGGAGGTTGAGGATTATGAGTTCAAAGCCAGCCTGGACTCCACTGTGAGTTTGAGGGCATCCTCTCCAACAAAAGAACAAACAGATGTTGGCTCAGTGAAGGGGAGGAGCTCTAAGGAGGGCGTTCCATTTTTTTTTTATTATTTAATTTTATTTTTATTGTGGTGGGTGCGAGCGTGTGCCAAGGTGCACAAGGGGCGGTCAGAAGCCAGTTAAGTTAGTGGGGTCAGGTCTTTCCTGTCTTGACAAGGCTTCCAGGTTGAATTCAGGTAGTCAAGCTTACCTGGCATGCACTTAACCACTGAGCCATCACGCTGGCCCAGGAAAGGCTTAGGCATGGCAGAGGCTGCATGAAATGAAAGGGCCCTTAAAGAATGAGAGCGCTTAGGTGGAGGACAGGACATATTCACAGACACCCCATGACAGAAAAATTATATATACATATCAATGAGACAAATCCTTAATAAGAGAAGTGGAAGTATACAGTTCTTTCAACTTTAAAAAAAAAAAAAAGGTAAAAAGAAAAGCCAGGCAATGGTGGTACCTGCTTTTAACCCCAGCACTCCAGAGGCAGAGGCAGGCAGATCTCGGGGAGTTTGAGGCCAGTCTGGTCTACAAAGCCAGGTTCAGGACAACCGGGTCTGTGACACAGAGGCACACTGTCTTGAAAAGCCAAAATAAAATAAAATAAAAGATGGCTGGGCATGGAGTTCAGTGTTAGAGGGATTGGGGTGTGGTTTAGCAAGAGAGCAATTGCCTAGCACGAATGAGGCCTTAGGTTCCATTCCTAAAACCATGAGAGGGGGGTGGGGGAGCAGGGCCTAGTGACACACATCTGTAATCCCCTTTAATCCCAGCACTCCAGAGGTGAGCTCACAAAAGCCAATGCCAGCATAAGTGAGTTCCAGGCCTGCCTAAGCTGCATAGTGAGACCCTGTCTCAAAACAAACAAAGAAAAAACAATAACAAAAGACTACCCAGGCACCATGCTGGGCGTCCAGGGGATTCATTAATGTGCATTTTGATCATAAACATCGCAGTATATCCAGCCACGCAGGAGCTTAGAGATACAGGGAAGGTGGCTGCTTGGGGAGAAAAATCTGCAGGTTTCTTAAGAAAGCACAGTTTTAGCCGGGCGGTGGTGGCGCACGCCTTTAATCCCAGCACTCGGGAGGCAGAGGCAGGAGGATCTCTGTGAGTTCGAGGCCAGCCTGGTCTACAGAGTGAGTTCCAGGAAAGGCGTAAAGCTACACAGAGAAACCCTGTCTCGAAAAACCAAAAAAAAAAAAAAAAAAAACCAAAAAAAAAAAAAAGAAAGCACAGTTTTGCCGGGTGGCGGCGGTGGCAGAGGCAGGTGGATCTCTGTGAGTTCGAGGCCAGCCTGGGCTACAGAGCGAGATCCAGGACAGGCACCAAAACTACACAGAGAAACCCTGCCTTGAAAAACAAAACAAAACAAAACAAAAAAAAAACCCAAAAACAAACAAACAAACAAAAACCCCCAAAAAACAACGCACAGTTTCAGAGCTTCTTACCAGGCCCTGCAGCCCAGCTGTTGCCGCGGGCCATCCCGGTCTTGCCATACCAGTTTGGGCTCTTCTTGCTGTCCAAGCGCTTCATCAAACCATTGCAGTGTTTACTGTGGCTTTCTGAGGTCTTCGGTAGGCTCCAGACAGTAACCTTTCTTTCTGTGCCCTGTCAGCCATCCAGGAAAGGTCACCCAAGCCAAGATGCCACGGTGTTTGCCAAGCTGGTGAAGCAGCAAGCCAGGGAGAGGGCTCCTGATGCGTGCTGAGGGGCCTTCTGCAGGACCTATGCACCTGCTGCTCAGATCTGTAAGGCAGGCGATACTGTCCCAGTTGTAGGTCTGTCTATCTGTCTGTCTGTCTCTCTCTCTCTCTCTCTTTCTCTCATTTCTTTCCCATTAAAAAAAAAAAAAATGCCGCCGGGCGGTGGTGGCGCACGCCTTTAATCCCAGCACTCGGGAGGCAGAGCCAGGCGGATCTCTGTGAATTCGAGGCCAGCCTGGACTACCAAGTGAGTTCCAGGAAAGGCGCAAAGCTACACAGAGAAACCCTGTCTCGAAAAACCAAAAAAAAAAAAAAAAAAAAATGCCAGACAGTGGTCCCAAATGCCGGGCAGTGGTCCTAGCAGTCCAGAGCCAGATCTCTGTGACTTCAAGCCAGCCTGGTCTACAGAGTGAGTTCCAGGACAGCCAGAGCTATATAGCAAGACCCGATCTGGAAACAAAACAAAAAAGCTCACGGCTCTGTGCGCAGCCTATCCTTACATAGTTTGAGACAGGCTTTCTCACTGAACCTGGAGCGC